AGTGAACCTTGTTACCTAAACAAAAGAAACTTAGATAAGCATGAATACATCTTCCTGACTTTTATCCCAGACCTCTGTTTTGTCTTACAACAACGTATCTCTTTTAATTGAGTGTATTCAGATAAATGAATCGCAACTCACTTCTGGCGTGTCCTTTTTCAATTAAACTCCCCCTTGAAGGTTTACTTCTCTTATAAGGCCCATAAGATGTAAATCAACAACTATATTACTAGTCAAGGCATGTTGTCATTTCAGTGTTTCCCCATGTACTCTGTTTTGCTTTGAACAAAATTAGTAGAGCAGGGACTGTCTGTTCAGTAACACAAAGCATATTATCAATATTTCAGCAACAACAGCTAATTCTAAATAGTAGTTCAGACATTACCAAGAAGTAGTTGAAGAAATAACGTTTAATTTATTCATTGGTGAAGCCTCCTGTGTGATAATTGCACTGCATTTCACTTTCTTCTGTTGTAGAAGAACCATCCCTTTCTAGGCAGGATTCTCTACAGTGCAGAACAGTTCAGCCTCTGTTGAAGTTGATATAAAAGTGTTTAGAAGCATGTGGAAAGACCACAAGATCAGGCAGGTCTGGGCCCTTGATGCCATTATTAAAAACCATTCATCATGGGGGTTCTGGTTCTCCTAAGGAAGTTGTTAGGCACAAATAATTCAAGGGAATCTCACCAAAGCCTTATCAAGGACTGCATATTAGTAATCTGGTCTTTATGGAAGCAAAGGCTGTTTAATACACTCCAGAGGCAGAAATAGGTCTAAGGAAGAAGAACAACTCCTAATGAAGTTATCAAATTAAAACAGAACAAAAGAAGATAGTGTAATAAAAAAAAAAACCAAGAGCTTTTTATTCTGTGGCAGAAGAGCACTATAAACTGTATATGAATACCACAGTTGATATTAATTCCTTATGGTTGAAAGGTATGTAAACTTGCAAAGAGCAATAAAATAGCCAAATGTATATGTTAATCTTTATGATGAGTGAGTGTTGAGCATTTCTAAATTATGTCTCTTCTTAGGTGACTAAACCAGTCTTTCTATAGCATCTGCAATTCACAACAGGGAAATAAAAATAGAAATAAAATTGCCAGGAAAAAAAACCTGTCAGTTTTTGGCATCAGTAAAGAGTTAATGAATTGTCTCTTCCTCATCACAATCAAATCTTATCTTAGATTAAGGACTGTATGGATTGTTTTCATCACCTGAGACAAATATGGACATTATCTCAAAGCCCTTATTATCTAAACTTTTGAAAACAAAACTCATGCTTCATTTTGTAGAACAGCTCAGTTCCCTCATGTTAGGGAAGTCAGAACTGCCTGTAACTATTGTCTGCAGCATAAATGCGAACTTCACCCTGGAGGAACGGAGCTGCTGCCAGTAAATAGCAGTAATTCCCTCCCTGGCTGATAGAAGAGCTGTTGAAGACTGTTCTCTACCAAGATGAACAAAGATGCTGTTAGTACTACCTCTTCTGAACTTTGCAGCATCCTTTGAGTCACTTTGTGATCTGCAGTTTGAGTTGTACTGTTCCAGAAAATGGATTTCTGCACACTGCCACATAAACAAATGAGCCATGTTTAGTTCTGTTCCCTCTTTAGTTTTTGTCAGTCTATATTGAAAGTCATTTTCTGCTAAGATTTGAATTTTGCTCTCAGCTGTTTGCTTACAGCTGTATTTAAGAAAAAATTCAGACTGTTTAATGATCAAAAGTGCTATAAGCTCCTCTTACTACTCTGTCAAGCATAGAAAGTCATATGAAAAGATATTTATTATCTCTTAAACACTTCTGTTTATACACACAGTAATATTTCTCCAGAGGTAACTAGCTGCATGTGTACTGCAAAGGAAGGTTAAACAAACTGCAAATCCAAACAATATATTACATGAGTCATGTCTTCAGCTAAGCTATGTGCTGAGAATTATATTGGCATGTGGGGGAGCTTTTTTTAAATAGGGACACTCCTGTACTTAGTTTTCCAGAAAGAGCTGAGGTTTTATTGTATTTCTTTGAAAAAGCATTTGTACCCCATTGGAATACTAGCCCACATAACAAGTTTTATTTGATGTACTAAATTTAAAGTGCAACAGACAGAAGTGTGGCCAAAAGGAGTCTCCGTCTACTTGACAGAGAAATCACGAGCATCTACAGAATGTAGACGTGAAGTGGCAGCATGGCCTAGTGTAAGCAAGTATGTATGATCACGTTACTAACACTAGATATCAGTCTTTGCTGACTGTCATTCAGCAGAAGTGCTCTGTAAAGTGATGGCATTTTTTTAAGTGATCAAATTTAATTTGATCTCAAGATGTAATATTGTCACCCTATGTGTATTTTTTGCACTACTAATTATGTTTCTGAAGATGGTAGTTTACAATCTTTTACAGTGTATTACATTCTGAAATTCCTACAAGTATTGAAGTACCTGGGTTTTCACTAAGACATGAGACACTACTTCTAGTGCTTTAGTGTAAAATGTGTTATGTCAATTGCCCCTAAACCATGCTTCAGATCTGAAGTAAGAATTGTCTAAATGCAACTTAAGTAAATTTTTTTGATGCATTGGGATTAGCAGTACTACTACTAAGACTTTAATACCTGAATAGCTTTGGGGATAGAAATATACTCTGTCTGCGGCACTGTGACCCCACATAGAATAGGAAAGACAACAAGAAGTATGAAGCAATTCTAGTTTTAATAAAAGATTTGGATTTTGTGTTGAAAAGTGAAGCCGTCTTTGAATGTGATGCAAGCGCTTATTTCTTATGTACATCCCCCAATAAATATGTGTAACCTTAGGCACATTCATTGCCTTAGAAAGATTTAAAGTAACAAAATACTTGCTGCTGTTACTTCAAAGAGCATCTTGTTATTAATATCTTTACTCTTCAACATGAACTGTTATAAACATTTTCAATATTTGGTTGTTAAGAGTGATTTCTGTCATTCTATTGTAAGAGGGGTCTTACGCTCACAGTATGTGTTCTGTATTTTTTTAAAAGTGCATGCTTTATGATCAATGGGATTACACTGCATACTTAATCATGATTTAGAGATCTTATATATGCATTAATTAAAATAGATAAAAAATCTTCATAGTTAATTATGCATTAACATTGTTCAAAAAAAACCTAACTGCAAGTGGATACAAAAGCATATGAAATAATCATGCCTAAAAAAATTCTATGTAACAACAATAGAAACTTGATGATGATACTAGATACAATTCTTGGCCAGTGAAATTTGAAAATAAACAAAACCACAAGAAATTATACTTGCAAAATTCTTGAGTAAATGATTGCTACTTGCCATGTAAAGCTTAAGGGTAGACTCTTATTGTGGAGATTCAGTTGCTCTGTTCTGTTAACGCTAACGAGAGTTGCATTGTTAAATTTGCCCCTTAGAGCACTATAGATTAATGAAAAAATACTCTGGTTGATGTATACTACATCTTAGGAACTTTCAGACTACGCAGATATTTGTCCATACATTTTCAGCCTGCTGCACAATGATTTATAGTTGTATGTTAGTATTGTGAGACAACAGCCTCCATGAAATCTTTCATTGTTTCATAGCTTATGTAGTGTGAGTATAGCAGCTTGACAAACATAAATTTAAAGCATCACAACTTCATATAGTGTTTCTGTCAAACTGATTCTTCCTGGTATTTCTCATGTACTAGTTATAAGGTGGTATAACCTATAATTTTCTTGTTCATCAGAAGTTCAGAAGCTCTTGTTTGGTGCAGATGTCAGGCAGTGAAGAGTAAGTACAGATTGGTAGAGCAATTTTTATGTAAGCACACCTCAGTCACTGATCAGATTGAACTGGCATAGACTTCTGAAACAGATAAAGACTTAGGGAGCATCATGACAATATATATTCATCCTATTTTACATTAAAGTCCTAATTCTGCAACTGTCCATGCTGCTTACAGCTAATGGACACCCTTGCTCCACTCTGGGGTAAACATGGTGACTTTCCAGCCAGGGATAGTCTAGAAATTGGTACATACCAGATTTATGTGGCTCATTCTTCTCCTCTGCATTCTTAATTAAGGTGGCACAGCACTATTTGCAGCTTGTTATCCTTTCATACAAACCCCAACATATGCATGCTTCACACACACTATGAAAAGATATGTCTGGTAACTGCAAACAGCTCTTTCATTAGTGTGTGCCTCGAAGGAGCTATGGTATATGCACAGATGAGCTCAGGGCCCTCACGAGTGCCTGCAAAGGCCATGGGGTTACCCACAGCTTCACTGGTAGGAATGTATATCGGCAGCAATATAGAGGGATAGTGAAGCAAGCAGTATTGGTTATGATTGAAGAAACTGAAAACTGCCTGTGAACATGTGGTGAGCAGGAACCAGACCACAGCTTTAGCCACTGATAGCTTCCTTATTTGTGTTGAAACCTGTGAAAGCTATGGGCAAGGTGAGTCTGACCATCTATGGCCAGTGCCAAGGCCTATGCTGCTGACGTGGAACTGTGGAGGACCCTCTGCTTATAGATGGCCGGAGCCATCAAAGAAGGCACAGTCATGGTGCTGAGCTGTGGGTGTAAGGAGCTTGTGCTTTGTCAACACCCAAAGTGTGTTATGCAGTCTCTCTGTCACACTTTTTCTCTTCTCATATTTATGTTGCCAATATGCTTAATTTGTCTTCATTTTCCATGTCCTCCTGGTAGTGCTTTGGGAGCGATCCTTTAGGTAGGTTATTCTTCTAATTGAGGTATAAATGTGGGACTTCAGTGAGTATGATTATGTAATGGTAAGCCTTGTACTGATCCTCCGAGAACTATTTTTCTTAGTATCTTAACTGAGGAAAAACAGCTAATAAAGAATGGGTTAATAATAGAGAAGCAACAATGTAACACAACTGAAAATACTATATAAGACATTGAGAAAATAAAAGTACTTTGCCTGAAGAAAGCTTAGATGTATGACATGCATGTTAATGCTTCCTTATTTTCTTTTGAAGGATCGCCGCTTTAACGATGAGATTGACAAACTGACTGGATACAAGACAAAGTCACTCATGTGCATGCCCATAAGAAACAGTGATGGAGAGATTATTGGTGTTGCCCAAGCAATAAATAAGACTCCCGGAGGTGCCCCTTTTTCTGATGATGATGAAAAAGTAAGATTACCTTTACTTTTGTATTTTTTTAATGTCTTTTGTAACTCAGTAGACTCTCGTAAAGATACTTAATCCAAATAAGTAAATGGCACAGCTGTTGTGTTAATGATGGTTTTCTAGAAGTGCTTAACATAAAATGTAAATTTTTGTTGTTCTCAACATAAAATGTGTATCTGTTCTGTAAATGTGGGATATCTTGTGGCTGAAACTTCAACTTAATGGTCTCTAAATCTTATGTAGACTTTTTCATGTAGATCTTAATAGGAAGACATTTTTATTTTTGAAAAGTTATCTGTAAGAATAAGTTCATGGGGGGGGGGAAACTGTCACAGAGACACTCCCGAGTTTACCGACTTTAAAAATTGCCACTTTCTCTTAGTGCTCTCCATGGGATAAATTCCTGTATCATATGCAAAAGAAACTTTATTTTAGAGGAGATTATGCATATGCAACTTTATGCTGTTCTAAAATATAGCAGACTTGCAAATGCCCGTGAAAGGACAAAGAGGGCAGGAAGGGGACACTAGGTGTAATATGAAGCAAAATTTGGTGAGTAAAGTAAGCTCAAAAGACAGGAGAATAGAGAGAGCCAAAAGGAGGGAACTTGAATTAAAGAAAGTGGGGAAAATAGGAAATGGCGCTGTTGGGGGCGGATGCATACAGCTGAGCATGGAGGGAAAATGTGTGTAGAGCCAAAAGATGACTGGGGAAAAGAATGGTAGAGGGCAGCAGGCTGGGGAGGAGCAGAACAGCAACTCTCTCTGCCCAGGAGAGAAATGGAGTCTCCTTCAAGCATGCAATAGGGAAATACACTTCTGTGTATTAAAATAGTATTGAATCTCATTTTTGTGGAAGTGTAGTTAGAGGTGGACTTTGCCCCCAAAAGCTGTTGATTCAAAAGCAGTTAATATTTGATGCAGAGCCATCGTTGGTGTACTACATACATGTTGATGTGTCTGTGCTATGACAAAAAGATGTTAAGTAATGCCTGTTGGAAGGGGAAAATTCTGTCTTATTGGTTCATCTAAATAGATGGAGATGATTTTCAGAATCAAGATAGCTTGACATGAACGAAACGCATTATAAAGCTAAGCTAACAGTGGTTTATAAAGGCTGTGAAATACTGCATAAATGAAACTCGTCTTCCACAGAAACCACAGTAATTGTATTTTTGAGTACTTCTTGAAGTTGCTATTACATTATTTTTACTTGTTATATACTTACAGCAATACATTTAGAGCATTGTGCATAACCATTTCATAGTTTGAAACAATTGTTTGGTGAGCATAAGAATATGAGTCTTTATATGAATAATGTCTGTTAATAGCATCATACTCTAGTTTGCTGTGCAGTGGGAGTAATTTAAAATTGATTACCTTTTTGAAATTTCAGTATGTGAAGGAACCTTTTGCGGTCCAGGTGGGAAAATCTTTGCCTAGTGAAATATTAATAATTGGGTGCATTAAAGTTGAGAGAGTAAAAAGGAGCACTGATTATTTTTATACCTTGTCTTAGTTATCAGATGTCTTCCAACAGAAACAGTTATGAGCAAATATTTCTTTATATTTTTTATTAGATTATTTAGTATAGCACAACTTTGCTATCAAGTAGAGGTCTTCCAGCAGTTATTCTTAGCAACACCTGCTTATGCGTGAAGAGCCAGCTTGCTTGCTGTGTACCATTGTTTGCTTTTGGTGCTTTCCCTAAATCTGTTTCAACATTACGTTCTGATCTGATGTGCTCTTGAGCTGCTTGTTAACTTCTTGCTAAGCTTCAAGCTTCAGATTCTCATTAAGACCTAGCCGTTTGCATCCAAGTTGAAAGACTAGACATGTTTGGATTATAATCTTTAAAATACATTCAACAAATAAAAGGAGTGCTTTTATTAGGCTAACAGTAAGAAAGCTTATGGTTTGACAGACTAACAATATAGATGGCTCAGCTGTCCAGTTATACTTAGTACCATAGAGAGAGCTTTTAAAAAAAAATATTAGAAATGCCAACTAACTGTGGTTACTCTTCACACCAATGCTATTAGTAATTTTATAAAACTGAAAAATTAATTACAAGAACAATACTTATTGCAGTGTGTATGTATATCTGGCATCATCTCTTGGTTAGATGTTTACTTCTAAACATGTGTTGAGTAATAAGGAAGAAAGTCACAGTCCTATCTCTGGCAGTATCACCTATTCTAGTACCACATTAAAGACAACTTTTCACAGAAAAGCTTGTATTTTTCCATAAAAATAATTAGCGCTTAATTTCTATTTCTGCAAGGTGTCTGTGTAACTGATTCTGCGTAGTGATTTAGTTTGAATTAAATAACTTTTAAAAATAACTCTCAATTTTCAGATGCTACTTTTTCAGACATCCGAAGTGACCCAGTAGTACTTAAATTGTTTCTTTGTCAGTTATCTAAACTTTTGTAACCATTAGTTTAATTCTGAATTACTTTTGGTTCTTGAAAATTGTGGATGTTGAATATTGATTTATTAGCATACAATACAAATCTGTTAGTGTATGCTACAATGGGTACCAAATGCAAATTAAATAAAATGAGCCCTTCTCTGAATAGGCTTTTTTCTGCACTTCTTTTTATTAGTACTCTCTGTCTGTGTAAAGGGAGTTTTGTTTAAAATGCAGCCTTTATCATGGATACTATATTTGATTATCATACATTCAACTAGCAAAACAACTGTGTACGTGTGAATTGTGTATTACATAAACATATATTAATATAAATATTTGATGCCAATACTGAGGCTGTGGCATTTGCTTCCATTCAGTGAATTCTAAATGTTATCTAAAATCAGCAAGTTGCCTATAATTTAATTGCCATCTTTATATTATTTTTACTAGTCATTTATATCACTGTTATAATTATAAGCCTGTATGTTAGAACTCCTCAAGAATATATTCAGTGGGTTCTTACATGTAGAGTTTATGGAAAAATAGATGAGAACATAACCATTATCATGCCCTGTAATAGATCTTAGATTTAATGAGGCCTGGCAGTCCGTGTGCTGTTATTTCCAAATCTGTGCTTTTAAGTTTCTTCACTCGCTAATAACCTAGAAAGCACGATATACCTCTGGGAAGCAAGAGAGCACACACTTCCAGGAGAACATCTTGCAAGATTAGCAAACAGTTTTACATCGTAATATCAGCAACAGTGGTTGTGAGGAAAGGAGGCAAGCGAAAACTGGGAAATCCTTTTCAAAATAAGAAAAGATCTACCTGGGTATTAAGGCAGTTTGTGCAGAAAAGCCTGATGAGTAGCTGGCAAAAGATGTAAATTCAGCTTTATGTTGATGTTACAATTTCTGAAGCTGCTAATTGTCAGAATGGTTAGAAAATGAAAATGTAAATTACTCCCCCCCCCCGCCCCCCCCCCCCCCCCCCCCCAAGCCCTCTCAAAGAAATGTCAGTATCATTTAAGTGTGACTCCTGTTTGCAAGTGTCCATCCTCTCTTAGTATTGTGCAAAGCAATTAAAATCTGTTGTGGTTTTTTTTACAAAGCTACAAGACTATATTGTATAATGAAATGTCACTTGGGGGCACTACTGTCTTGAGTCAATAGGAAACAAAGAATTATGTTTTCAATTAGAATTAAGTAGATGCTAGCATCATTTTTATGTACTCTTAGTTATTTTCAGGAAATTAAGAACAAATAAAATATTTAAGATTTGAGGAGTTTTTAATGCTCCCAAGCTGTAACCAAGTTTATATTTTGCAATATGTAAAATGGAGTATTAGATTTCAAAGTTTTTTCTAGGTTGCTTTTCCTGGCAAATTTTCAGGTTTTTCTCTTACATCTCTGACCATCTCTGGTCATAATAACACAGCACTAATAACGAGCCTGAGTGAATTTTCCACATGTAATGGTTGTTTCCTCACTGCCAAATTTCTTTTCTGCTTTTGATGTAAGGGAAGTGCAGAACTAGACTTGACAGCCACTGGCATGAGAGAAAATGTTCTGTCTCACAACGTGTTTTGTCTCCCCAATATCAGTGGCTCAGTTGAACAGTCTGATTTCAGAGATTTCTCCAGTTTGACACAAACAATAGTAGAATACCTTATTACTTTTGTATAGCAGCCATCACTATTACATTATGTTGTGTAATTGGTAACTTTTTGGAAAAAATAGGCTGGTGGTATACATGAAGACACCAGTTCATCTGCACAGACATAGAGTAGGAAGATTAAAAAACCAAACCCTTGAAAAGAACTGTGCACCCTGCATGCATTCCCGGTTCTGTCCTGAAGATTCATTTAAGTATTTGTGCTGTTTGCTGGTGAGTCATACTTGCTCCAGGACTGGTGAGAAACTCAGCCTAAGAGCTTGACAGTCTTTAGTTTAGATTTTTGTATGCCCTTTAGAGTCTTCTGAGATGCAGTGCCAAAACAAATCTAATCCTCCATCAGAGAGGCTCAACAAACAGCAGCAGCAGCAGCTCCACTGTCACTTAAACTGGCATCCTGGTTCTCTCTGGCTCTGATGTCCTCCTAGTCTGAAAGAAGTGAATTGACTGCAGGGAAACTACTCAGGACAGCCAGCTTGAATTTAAATCCTGCTTTATTTACTGAAAAGCAGTAGTTTGAATGCAGTGAGATCCCTCTTGGGGGGGGGGGGAAGGAAGAATGGGATTTGGTTATCTGTGCTCTGTGGATAATTTTATTAGGAAATATATCCAGATTCCAGGATTCAGCTGGTGTATGTTTGGTTTGTGGGGGCTTGAAGATACAGTGTTCTCGTACTCCAATGTCTCTATTTCTTACATTCCTAATAGCAGCCCTGTGATTCTAAATTGCCCAATTTAATGTGCTCTTTTTGGTCCGTATTAGTTAAGGCTTAAATATATTCTATGCCAGGTCTACCGTAGTGATGAATGATTTGCAGGGATTTTGCTATACCTGCTAATTTGTTTTCTGTGAGTTTTTGTGTGATGGGCTTAGAGTCACGCTGGCAGGTAGCTGTTTCATAGTTAGAATGGTT